ATAATTAACTAAAATGTTTCTGTACTTAAACCAGGAGAGTACCGATATGTTTTGTATCTAGAGTAACGAAAACACATGAAAGGAAATTGAAACCTCAATACTCCGGGAGTATTGGATTTTAGGAAGTGTAGAACTTCCAAATTTCAGAAGAACTGGAAGAGAGGTGATGAAAATACTAAATTATGGCTAAGCTCAGAGGAACAAAGTTAAATGTCCATTGAGACACTAAATCTCAAGTGAGTGTTCGGGCTAGCTTCCATGCACTGGATTGTGGCTTTAAAGATATAAACAGATAGCAAGGATACTGAGTAATGAGACAAGAAACGAAATGAGACCTGGTAATATCAAATGTGATACAACTAAAGAAGGTCACTGGGAATAAATTTATAGAAAGAGAACAATAAGAAGAGAAAAAGAAGGGCGCCAACTCAATGATAGTTGAGATTTTGAAGTAACAAATGACCGAAAACAAATGATACTAGAGATAATAACCTGAATCTAAAAATACTAAATATTAATCTTGTCTTGCTATATTATATACTGGTTAGTAGAACTGAAATAAAACTCAAAATAGTAACAATAAATATATTTATAAAAATGTGTATATCGATATATATGTATTAACAATTTACATATAATGCAAAAAAACTAATAACAGTGGTAGGGGGTGTGTAAAGATACAATAGGACCAAATAGCCCCTCAACAAGCGAATAGTCACTACCACTGGCCAAATAAAGTATAAAATATCAGTAAAAATTCAAGAATAGTCCGTATCATAGCCAAAGTCTTAACACAAAAGGTAGTAATTTAAATTTAACTTAGTTCTACTGAATAAGATACAAGTGACAGTATGGTAAAGATATCAAAATTGATAAATCTAGTACCATTTATATTATAGATAAAAAGTTAGTTGTTACATATTCCTTATATAATGTTTTAAAAACCACATCAAATTTATTTCCCTCCCCAATATCAAAATTGTATTATATCAAAAATGTATTTTATTAAAAAAATATATTAAATCAACAAGTGAGTTTGGTCAGACTCTGTCCCATTTAAAAACCTAATAAAAACATGTAATGTATTTTCCTTCCCCAATATCTTAGAATTTGATTATCAAAATTGTATTCATCTTATCATATGCATATGAAAACTTAACAGTAAATAGAAAGTAACACAAAAAGTCAAATAGTTAAACAACTTATCTTAGCAACACTATAAGTCCATAGGGAAACTCCTCTTGGCACGGCTAAATTAATTCATGGTTGTGGTGACCATGACCGTGACCAAGTCCCATGGTTCCGGGTGAGAGCAAAATCCACGGGTTACATACGCAAGTTGCTAACTATCTAAGGATTCAAAATTACTAACTAATATCCTCGAGGGAATATTTTCAAGTGACGGAATCTAAAAGGGTTATGTAATTTAATAAATGCAATTCAATAGCTGTAGCAGCATAGATTGACTGCACCAAAACAAAACATCAAAACATTAGTGACATTAGGTCAACATGTCAAAATTTCCGAAGTTACTTCGTAGACATGACAGGCTTGCGCCATGAAAAGAACATGCGCAGAATACAGAAGGCTGTACCCCATTTGTAGAACCTTTTATATTCCACCAAAAAAAAGTTAGATAAAAAGGGAACCAAAAAAAAAACTTAATGATAACGACATGGACTAAAACAGAATTTAAGTTTAACTATATAAAAAATTACCTTCGGTTCTTTGCAAGTAAATCAAGGAATTTTATATTTAAATTATTTCGGAACTCAAAAATAAATCTCTCTCTAAAGAAATACCAAACTACAATGATAACTTTTATTGTATAATAAGGAGATAATACGTATGAAATGATTTACTTACATGGAGCCGCAGCACGCCAAAAAAAATATTCCTTTTTATGTGGAACTCTTATATTAGGAAATCTTGATTTTTAAAAATTGCTTATTATTATTATTGAGATATGATTATTAAATTAGATATTTTATTCGTCCCAGATTATTTTACTGCTCCAATTCCGTCACTTTGAAGGTGAAAAAATTTCACCGGTTGGCGTGTCTGCGTAATACGAGTTTCTTGACCAAACTAACTGCTTTGCTTCAGCACAAAATCGATTAATCCTTTCAAAGCGCTCCCAGCGCGTGAGTGGAGAAATGTCGATTTAAAAATCGACCGCTGGCGGGTTATAAGAAATTTATTGAGGGGGTTAATCAGTAGCGTAAACGCTACAAAATATAGCGTTACTGAACTCGAATTCGCGAGTGTACTGTTTTGCGTTGAGAAGTTAGGATTCTATATTTTGGGCGCGATATTTATAATAGAAACTGATCGTACGGCTTTAGTCCACATCATGAAAAATCGATATTATAATATATTTGGTTTTTCTAACGGTTTAGTTTTAAATAGATATTTTTGTAAATAGTTCTACCTCAAACTTTATATTGTATGGACTACCAAGAATTATACAATAGGGTAGGTTTGTAAATAGTTTGTAAGAGGTAATTATCCTTTTTTCTATAGAAATTGAAAATGTTTATTAGGTGACCGACGGATTATTGGATAGGAGAAAGTTAGCATTTTTTTCTATGAAGAAAGTAAAATTTGTTTGGATGGAGATACGTTTTCTGATTGGTTCAAGGAAAAAGAGGAGGAAGATGAAAGAAGTTTGGATAGAGTTTTGCAAAGGAGAGGAAGGATTTGTGAATTCAATATCGGGCGAGGATACTATAGTTTTTTTTTGTGGAGACGACGTTGCTAATTAGATGAATTTTATTTTTCTTTTAAGTCTAGATTGTGGAAAGTTGTATTTGTGTTTGGTGGAAAGAGTTACAACTGTGGTAGCAGACAGAAGAAATAACTGACATGCTGTAAGTAATAAACAGATGTATAGTTTTAAACTGGACCAAGTCGCTTAGCTGAGATATCCTTTGTGTCTGGAGAGAAGGAGTTTATTCATGTAGTAAAGGTTTGGAGCAGAGGAATTTAGCAGGAGTATTCTGGAGAAACTGAAAGGTACGAGCAAGGTGGACAAGGCACAATCAAAGAAGAGAGAGGTGAAGTCATCAATTGTGGGAACAAAAGGTAATTTTCGTCATTATTAGAAACAGATACTTTTAATCACGATTACCTATTTAAATTAGGGTTATTGGTTTTTTTTTGTTGGTTTGATTGAGAATTATAATACATGATAATTGATCGGGAGTCACTAAAATTAAGAAATTTTTGATTTGCACATAAGCTTAATTAATTTGTATTGATAATTGTGAATGTATCATTTGATGGATGTTTGAGATTTTTATTCTAATCCTTGTATCTGGTATATTTATGTTTATTCAAAATTTTTACTTTTAATATTTGATTGTTTATTTTTAATATAACATTGGTTTGTAAGTCATAATTGTACTGTAATTTTATTTTCCTATTGTCAATCATTTGTTGTTCTCAAAGACAACTAGCAAAAATACTTTGAAGCTACGTTTTGTTTGTAATAAGTAAAAGAGCCCTGAGATATTATATTAATTTGTTAAAAAAAAATAAATATTATAAACATACAGTTTTAGCAAATCACAACAACTGGCCCCAACGTGTTGGCTATTTTTAAAAAGTATTGGTTGTAGTTGAAAAGGAAGACAATTCGAAATAAAAAGACAAAAAAATGGTGGTTGAGATTTTTTTTGGTCGAGTAAAAAATTCATTTTGATACATTCCATTTTATGACATTTACATATTAACTGATTTTTTACAATTTCTAAAAATTTTATTTAATATTGTTCTGAAGCTTTTTTCTTGTGGCATTTTAAATTAATTACTATTTAACTGGGAATAAGCCACAATTAAATTAGAACCACAAGAACGATTTCCGAAGTGGAAATTGAAACATCAATAAACGTATTTTCACCTTTAATTGTGGCTTATTCCCAGTTAAATAGTAATTAATTTTATTTAAATTTTTTTATTATTGACATTGACGAAATTTTAAATTTTTTTGACAATTTTGTATTTGTGTGAGCGGAAAAATTTTTCATATTGGCAACATATCGGTAAAAATTAAAGTTTTACATTTGGCGGGGATAACATTTCACTGACTAAAACTTCGTATTTGGCGGGGATACGAATCCTGTAGGAAACATATTTTTGAGTGGTTGGAGGAAAAATAAAAAAGTAGAAAAGAGATGTATGTGACAAGAAATAAAAGCAAAGAAAACAAAGAACAAGAAGAACATTCAGAACACGAAGACATTTTATAAAGAACAATTATGGAAACAAAAAAAAAAAGGAATTATCAAAATTAGAAAAATTATTACAACCTAAGCAAATACAATTACAAAATCAGGAAGAAACAAAAACGAGCAGTAAATGTAATGGAAAAAAAATCAGAAGGAAACAAAACAATCCAAAGAAGAGAACAACAAGAAAATGGAGGAACGTAACGTTAATATCTATGGTAGCATTGGTATATTCTACTTGTAGTTTTTTTTAATGTAGGTAACTGAGGTCTTCTTGGTCTTCATAATTTATTTGTTTTGTACGTACTTAAAAGTTTGGGGGAAATTTTTCTGTGCGCTTAGATTTGTTGTTTATTTTTTATAAAAAATGCTTTAAGAAAAAAGAAAGTAACGTGTCCATTTTTATGACACAATGTCAAGTAGTTTAGGAGATAGTAATAAAAAAACAGGTAAATGGCCTGAGGACTGGACACAATCACTATATATTCCCATACATAAAAAGGGAGCGAAAGATTTATGTAGCAACTATCGCACAATTGCTCTAATTGCGCATTGCAGTAAGATACTATTACACATAATTCTCGAGAGGATAAAGCCCTTTTTACTACCTAACATTGCGGAGGAACAAGCAGGTTTCGTCCAGGACGTGGTACTAGAGAACAAATTTTAAACGTACGGCAGATTGTAGAAAAATCCAGAGAATTCAACATCACAACATATTTGTGATTCATAGATTATAGTAAAGCTTTTGATTTGGTCAACTGGAGTAAAATGTGGCAGGTTTTGTCTGAAATGGGAGTCCCTAATCATCTGATACTGCTAATTAAAAGCCTGTACAATAACAATTATGCCAGAGTTAGAATAAATGGGGAACTAACTGACAGTTTCAGGGTCACAAAGGGCGTGAGACAGGCTGCATACTAAGCCCAATTTTATTTAACATCTATGGTGAATGTATAATGCGGAAAGCTACTGAGGAGTGGAACGGTGGCATCACGCGGGAAGAAGATTTGCAACTTGAGATATGCAGATGATACTACTATCCTCGCTAGTTCTGAAACTGAATTGATTCACCTGCTACAACGGATAGAAGACGTAAGCTTAACGATGGGCTTAAAATACACAGGGATAAAACGAGAATCATGATAATTGACAAAGCTAACAACAATCAAAATCATCTGGTTAGGATAAACAATATCGCTGTTGTAGATAAATTTGTGTATCTGGGCTCATTAATAACAACAAAGGAGGCTGTACTGAAGAAATAAAGCGGCGGTCAGCAATCGCAAAAAGCGCTATGGCAAAATTAACAAAAATTTGGAAAAGCCATGAAATTACTACCGATACAAAAATGAGACTAGTAAGAAGTCTGGTTTTTTCCAGTTTTTACTTATGCATCGAATGCTGGACCCTTACTGAGAAAGACAAAAAGAACATAGATGTATTTGAGATGTACTGCTGGAGACGAATGCTGAGAATAGCATGGGTGGCCCGAAGAACAAATGAATCCATACTGGTCCAGCTAAACATAAAGAAAAGACTAAGAACACAAATAACAGAACAGATAATAAGCTATTTTGGACATGTGCTTCGAAGAAATGGTCTTGAAAAACTTACCATCCAGGGAAAAGTAGAAGGCAAAAGAAGTAGAGATAGATCTCGTACACGATACACGGACCATATTGTTGCTACCATTAGCGCTCCATTGTCAGAATGTGCTAGATTTTCAGAAGATAGAAAAACGTGGAGGAACATTGGAAAAATTACCTAACAGCTTCATGATATCACGATACCTGCATCAGGTTAACGACTAAGAAGAAGAAGAAGAATAAAAAAACAATTATTTTGTGACTTCAAAGAGCTGTAACTATTTTTAGTACTAAGGTTACCAAGTTAGATTAAATCAATTTATTTTTGTCCCCGGAATGCGTGATGTAATTAATGGCATACCTTTTTGAAACACCCTGTATAACCATATTTTATATGTACGTGATCTTAAACATATTGTAACAAACTTTGTACCAGTGTCAATAGCCTATAGTTACCGTTAATTTAAATAAAATAAAATTGTAAGTGGTCTTTCTAGTGATAAATGAAAAATAATATTCTGTGATATTTATTAATGTGTAAGAATTTATATTTTTATTTATTTAAGTAAACTGATTCAAAAGGAGACAGAATAACAGAGCACTGAGCTTGAGAAACAACAGGTGCTCCTTATGTTAATACCTAGTCAGGACTGAGGTACAATAACTCTATCTAATAACAGGTATGTAAACTTACAAAATATACTACGCCCAAATTACTTAAAATAATTTAACAAAAGCAAAAAAAGACGGCTCGAGTGATTATGTTACAGGAACGAAATACCTTCGTTGCGTCGCCTCTGACTTGGAAACAAATTTCTACATTCTTGCCTCAAGGAGACCGAATGAAGCAGGTGCGAGGAAGTTTTGGTGGATGCGCCGATGTAATTAAAATGTCGGCCGCTTACAAAACTCCTCGTCATTTGGACAAATTTATTGTCTGTATATTGCGCTCTGCGAATTTGTTTCCTCATGATAAGAGTTACCAGAGGCGTGCTAATAGCTCGAATGTGGTTTCAGGTGTGTGGAGAAAAACCGTTAGGTATTTTGAAAATTTTACGTGTCATAACGTATTCTATTATTTCCCAAACTAATGCTTTTACTTACACTAATACTTTTATTTCTATAATGCAACCATGTAGTTAATTTAATAAAATCAATTATAATAAACATTGTTTCCGTTGCTTTTAATAAAAAATATTGTGTTAGCAATTTTCTAAAAAACTAGGGGCATTTCGAGCGACCATATATTGTATTATTCAATAATGTTTGTTTTTTTATTGAAAAAGACTGTAAGACTTATACACACTTCTAAATAGGTCTAACTGGTAAGCAGGTTTTGTATGTTTTCAATAAAATTGATAGTGTGTAAAATAATTTTAAGCTAAGTATATTTTCGACATAATAAATGTCATCATCAGAGCTATCCTAAAATAACGTTAAGTTAAGTAAATTTTTTATATAAAATACAATTATAGAAAAAACTTACGTCAATTAGGCAATAAATACTTCATAGAAGGAAAATTGTGGACAAACGACATATTAAAAAACAAAGATCGGGCTCTGTAGGCCACAGATCTTGGGTATAACCCTTATACATATATGTATAATTCACATCAAAAATTTTTTATAAAACATGGTTACCACATACAGTAACGACAACAGCTGTTTTTGACTTACATTTTTGAAGTAAAATTAAATAGGAAGTTCAGATATACGGCAATAAATCCGAGAGCGACCTCCGTATTTAAATTATTAAGTAAAAATTGAAAATGTCTAAAATGACGTCTGAAGGTTATTGATTATTACTTTTAGTTACTGTAGAATTTTAAATTTAAATATTTTAAATTAATAAGTTAACGTGAAGAATTAAAATATACATTTATCAATATTATCAAAAAACAAAACTTTAAAGTTTGACCAAGTAGAAGAAAGTAGATGAAAACCAACCAAGGAGAAGTATCATTTGCTAAGTTAAGAGTTCAATAGCTATTATTGATTATCAATATTATTAATAAAATAAATAATGAAGAAGAAAATATCAAACATTCTCCATGTAGATGAAATCAACGAAAGAAAATATAAGAAATTCTCTCTTTTAAATCTCTTTTTAAAATAAAGGTCAAAGCTTGATCAAATGATGGTTAATTTTATACTAAGTGTATTATTAAAGAAACTTCTTAAATATTGGATCAAACTTACAATTTAAGTTAATTGGAGTGTTGACACAGTTCTGAGGATTCCTTTTCATTTCTCTACTGATTTCAAGATCTTCTAGTAAATTCATTTTTATATAATTATTATTGGGTAAACTGTGTAGGATCTTGCTATCTCTATGAGGACTAAAGCCATGCTTTGAAGCATGTATATGATTCCCAAAACTAGATTTATCAATCTTAGACAGATGTTCTTTAATGCGTATATCCAAAGGTCGCATTGTTCTACCCACATAGGTCACCGGTCATTCACCACAGGATAATTTATAAATACCACTTTTTGACGATTTGTTGATTTTGTCTTTAGTGTGGGAAAAATAGATTTGATATTTTCTTTAACTTTGAAAGAAAGTTTTAGATTAGGGATGTTTTTTAAGATTCTGGCTATATTATCTGAGGGATAACCTATGTACGATATTGATCGATAAATAACTGTCGAGTTAGAAATGTTATGGACAGTGTTGTATGCTAGTGATCTATTCCTTTTATTCCTTAATTTGTTGAGTATGTTATCAACCAAAGTAGGGGTGTAACCGTTACTATAAGCAAGTTGTTTAATAATTTCTAATTCTGATTTAAAATTTGAATCTGACAGAGGTAAGCTAAGTAAACGATGGATATAGCAATAAAAGGAGGCCATTTTCTGTTGAAAAGGATAATTAGAAGATCTAGGGATGGTATGGTCAGTCTGAGTTGGTTTTCTGAAGACTGAAAAATTTAATTTGTTATCTATTCTAGTTATTGTTAAGTCTAGAAAATTAATAGAATTGTTGGATTCTGTTTCTAAGGTGAATTTTATAGCTGAATGTAAGTTGTTAAGTGAAACTAGGATATTGTCTGCATCTGAGGAATTTCCGTCTATAATAGCTAACACATCATCCACATATCTGAACCAATATAAAACTTTTTGAAAAGAGTTTTGATTCAGAGAAAGATTGTCAAAGATATTAATCTCCAGGTTATTCAGAAATAGATCTGCTAGCAAAGATGATAAGGGATTGCCCATTGCCAATCCTTGTGCCTGTTTATAAATAATATTGTTGAAAGAAAAGAAATCTTGTGAAAGACAAAATTTAAGTAAACCCAATATGTGAAAAATTGTATCTCTATTAATGTTGTTTTTAATAAGTAATTTCTCAACTATGGAAATGGTTTCATCTCTAGGTACATTTGTAAACAAATTACTTACATCAAAGGAAACTAGAAAGAAGACTCTAGGTAAATTTAAAACTGACAATTTATTTACTAAGTCTGTAGAGTTTTTGACAGAAAAAGTGGGTTGAACAGATATTGAGGATTGTAATATAAAATTGATGAATTTGGACAATGTAACAACTGGTGTGTTATAAAAACTAACCACTAGTCTCATAGGGGTGTTAGGTTTATGAATTTTTGGTAAACCATATAGTCTTGGTATTTACGGATTTGACAAAATGAAGGTTTTCTCTATCCTGTTATGTGATTGTAGGAAATCTTTATGTTTAGATAAAATAGCTTTGAGATTAGTAGCTAGTTTCTTTAGAGGATTTCTATCTAGAATGTCAAAGTTATTATTTCTTAGAAATTCTTCTGTTTTTTGAACGTAATCATGATGGTAGATGATAATGAGGCAGTTACCTTTATCAGCTTTAGTAATAATAAGATTGTTACTATTCAATTTTGTAGATATTTGTCTAATCAAATGTAGTTGTTTAAAGCAGTTGTAGTTGTAGTAGTAGTAGTAGTTGTTGCAGTTGTTTAAAAATCAAATGCTCATTCAACCATTTGATCAAGCTTTGACCTTTATTTTTAAAAGAGATTTAAAAGAGAGAATTTCTTAAATTTTCTTTCATTGATTTCATCTACATAGAGAATGTTTGATATTTTCTTCTTCATTATTTATTTTATTAATAATATTGATAATCAATAATAGCTATTGAACTCTTAACTTAGCAAATGATACTTCTCCTTGGTTGGTTTTCATCTACTTTCTTCTACTTGGTCTAACTTTAAAGTTTTGTTTTTTGATAAAATTGATAAATGTATATTTTAAATCTTCACGTTAACTTATCAATTTAAAATATTTAAATTTAAAATTCTACAGTAACTAAAAGTAATAATCAATAACCTTCAGACGTCATTTTAGACATTCTCAATTTTTAATTAATAATTTAAATACAGAGGTCGCTTTCGGATTTGTTTCCGTATATCCGAGCTTCCTATTTCATTTTACTTCAAAAATGTAAGTCAAAAACAGCTGTTGTCGTTACTGTATATGGTAACCATGTTTTATAAAAAATTTTTGATGTGAATTATACATATGTATAAGGGTTAGACCCAAGATCTGTGGCCTACAGAGCCCGATCTTTGTTTTTTAATATGTCGTTTGTCCGCAATTTTCTTTCTATGAAGTACGTTTTTTTATTGATATTAACTGTTAACATTGGATATTTTGAAGAAATCATTAGACTTTGTGAACATAAATTTGTATCTATGTTTTTCTTATTTTTCCTAAACATTTTCTTTAAATATAACACATTCTAATAGCCATTTAGATATCGGAGTAGAAAGAACTAAATTGAAATATTGTTTAGAATTGTGTCACTTTCGTCTTTATTTAAGCACTTAATAATGTCAAAGGTGCGGTATCGTCATTTTTATTTTGTGTGATGGTGACATTCCTATCGTCTTCAAATGTTGTTGTTACATAGTTCATTCACGTTGTTTTTGTTTCTTCAATATTAATTATTGGATTTCCTTGAGCTTCTGTTAAGTGTCCCGGCCTGTTTGATTTGTAGATGCCTGCTGCTTCTTTGATCTTTTTGTGGGAGTTGAAGGAATTGTGTTTACGTTCCAATATCCCGATTTTTTTTGAGTATTGTATTAGGTACTCTATAACGATCAAATTGTGACTTTAGAGTTGCTATCATATGAGGACTTCCACTGTAGTTTCCACTACAGTGAAAGTGCTTTGTGTACTAATGAATAAAATA